CCCCCCCGCCGAGCGCCACGCCGCCTGGAGCCCGCCCCCCGCCCCCGCCGAGCACCACCGGAACCCCTCCCTGAGCGCCGCGCCCCACGCCACCCCCCCAGCCGAGCGCCGAGCCGCCGGAGCGCCCCCCTCCCCGCAGAATGCCGCACCGCGCTGCCCCCTGCCACCCCAAGATTGGCCACCCCTTACCAGGTGCCGCCCCAAGCATGTGCTTGGTTGCCTGGAGCAGTAACAGATCCAGGGTAATGCAGGATTCTTGAAGTGTCTTCTCTGTCATTGTGGAGCCTCTGCCCATCTTTGAGCAGTGATGCTTCCTGCTTGTTGTGTCACACTCCAGGATACTCTGAGAGTTTTCAGAAGCTTTTTTGACCTTCATTTTTCCTTCAAAAAAACCCAAACAAACAAATAGCATTTCTTTAAAGCTAATGCAGCTACTTCCTTTCTTTGTTGGGTGTTTCTTTGGTGTAAATTCAACTATGATCAAATTTGAGGATGACACCAAAACTGATATTGTAGGAAACACAGAGTACAGGGGGGAAATACCTGTAAAATGACCTGGAGATTACAGCAAGAAGATGCAAGCAACAGAGGGATTTATAAATGTAAAGTTCTACATCCAGGGAAAAGAAACAAGCAGCCAGAATGAAAAATGTAGGGATGTATCCAAGCAGATACAGCTGTCACAGTAAGCCAGACTTACTGTCTCCTTAATACTATTCTAACATTACTTTTTATTTAATTATAATAAATATATTTTGATAGAGAAAATTGTATTGGGAGTAGGAGTCTGGAGGGATGGTATTCCACAGTCTGAAAGAGGTTAAAATGTAATGTGATGCATGTAATGTTCTAGCTAGATTAGTGATTCTTAGATGGCCTAATGTACAGTGTATGAAGTGTATCCTCTTTTATTTATATTTAAAGGTTCTTTTCATTGGAGACTCAACTAATAGAGGGATAATGTACTATCTGATTGAAAGAGCGAATGAGACCCTTCAGGAATGGCAAAAGGCTCATGATGTTAAATTTTATCATAACATAAATGATGGGAAAACATTTATCAGTTACTCCTACTATCCCCAGTTTTGGATCAATGTAAACCAGAGGCCAACGTTTGAAAAAGCGCTAGAACAGCTGTTACAAAGGTACAGTATAACTTCTATTGATGGGTTGTTTGTATTCTTCTTCCATTCACAAATGTGTTTAACAGACCTTTACCATTAAAATCAGTAAAGAATTAAGCACAAGATATACTGGCCATATTGTGTGGTTAAAAAATAGTCAAATGACATCACGCGTCCGATCAGGATGCCAAATACAGTTCATTGAAATGTAATGCGATGCTGTTAAAATGTTTACCATCTGTTTTAAGGCTACATGTGGTGTGCTTTCTTTCTTGGTTTCAGATCACATCCTCTTGAGAACACAGACCAGACTGTATTAGTTGTGGGTGGTGTTCAGTGGCTTAATTCCAATCACCTGCAAATTATTCAAAAGGTGCTGAAGAGGTAAAGTTTAGTGCTATATGTTTCTATTATCCCATGTAAAACATTGATATGATAAATTACAACTACCAAACTTAACCAGTAGTTTCAGATACAAACATTTCATTTTTCATCATTGTGCATTTAAATCTGATGTTAAAAGAAATAATTTTGTAATGTCTCTTCATAGATCTGTAAATAAAATGCATGTGCTTTATTTCACTTGTTAAACAGGGAAAATCTATCAAATATCCTGGTAGTTATCAAATCCATAGGAATGGGATTTCATCTACCAGTGGATGGGATACATTCTTTATCGCAGGTGGGTCAGATTTTGACTGCATTCCCATGAAATGCTTACTGCCTAACTCAAGGGTCGGCAACCTCTCAGAAGTAGTGTGCCAAGTCTTCATTTATTCACGGTAATTTAAGGTTTCACGTGCCAGTAATACATTTTACATTTACAGGGGCCAGCGGTTGGACCCCAGACTGGCAGAGGGCTGAGCGGCTCAGCCCATTGCCAGTCTGGAGTTATGTCCTCCGGCCACTGCCAGCCGGGGTCCCAGCCACCAGCCCCGCTCAGCCCGCTGCCAGTCTGGGGTTCCGTCCATCCAGGCCAGCAGCGGGCTAGGCGGGGCCGGCGGCCGGGACCCCAGGCCAGCAGCAGCATGCCACAGTAAATCAGCTCATGTGCCACCTTTGGCACGCAAGCCATAGGTTGCCGACCCCTGGTCTAACTGATGATTTTGCTCTCTCTTTAAAATACATTGCCACCTGTGCTGAACAAGCTTTAAATGGACCAGCGAGAGAGAAACATTTGTATTTGTAATATGGTTTGCTGATATGGACTTGTGCTACCCTTATTTCATGGATTCCACATTACTCAGAGCTCTGTTCAATGCTTCATACTAAACTGGTTGTTCCAATAACTAGAAGCACCTACATTATTATACATAATGCCAATTTGCAGAGCTGAGTAGGAGACAGATTGCTCCAGCCACATGGATAGTTGAACCTCCTCAGTCTCCCTTTCTACAGGGAGGTGGTGACTATTGGGACAGGTTCATTGGTACACCATAGGCTACTTTGCACTGCTCTCCATAAATCCAGCTTGACCAAATCAGTGTAGGCTGCTTTGCATCACCAGAACATTGCAAGGCAGCTGGAATGTCCTAGTGAACCTGGCCCTTTAATTGTATGTTAATAGTGTCAGATGGTTATTCTAAATAAGGTCAAAAGCACCCACATTAACAGCCGGACACATTTTTTACTATGTTGGTTATAAACTACCATAGATAATAGTGTGTAGATGATAATTCTCACTTCTGTAAAAGGCACAAGTAATGATAGCTCCTCCCTCAAGGATCTTGCAGTCTAACAGAAACAGATAAGACAATAAGAGGTGGTAACTTTAAACCATTCTTTTGTCATAATCATGATTATCATGTCTTCCCAGTTCTGTAACATTTGAGGGGTGGAGGGAGGAGATGAGGGGCTCTGAAGGAGAGAAAAAGATCTGGGTTAGGTCAATCGCAAAAATTCATTTCAGGTGCAGTTTTGAGGGATGGACCTTCTTCCCTAACCAGTGTAGTCCTGGAGGCAGGGCAGAGGAGTGGAAGCTGGAAGACCTAAGTGCTATTCCCATTCTGCCAATGGCTTGCTGCATGACTGTAGGTCTGCCAGATAAACACACACACACACTCTCTCTCTCTCTCTCTCTGTGTGTGTGTTTACAGATGGGGAAAGTAGGGGTGTTATTGTTCACCCTTCTTTGTAAAGTGCTTTGACAGCAACAGCTGAAAAGCAATAGATTATCCCTAAATATGGCTATTTATAGTCAGAACACCTTGATTTTTTCCCCCAGTTCTGCTACTGACTCAGTGTGACCTAGGCAAGTCACCTCTCTCTGCTCCAGTGTACTCATCTGTAAAATGAATGTAATTGTCACGACTTCCATTTGGACCCAAGAAGGGGGTTATTCCATTTTAGGGGGGAAATGAGTGGACACAGGAACAAGAGCAACAAAACTGTCCCAGTCTACCTTTATTTGGCTCCTCCCTTTATTTACCTCCTGTCATGCCTTTGAATAGAAATGAGGACTGGGTGGGAAAACCAACATAATTCAGGCCTAAAATAGGTAAGGGGAAGGAGGATGGGCCAGTGGTTGGGGCACTGGCCTGGGAATATGGAAGATCCAGTTTCAATTCCCTGCTCTGACACAGACATCATGTGTGACCTTGGCAAGACACTTAGCCTCTCTGTGCCTCAGTTCCATATCTGTACAGTACAAGAAGGGTCTGAGAGGAGACAGGCACCACCAGGATAAAACCACCAATTAAAACATCATGAAAAATGATGCCCCAAAATCAATCACAGAATATATACAAGATAGGTAAGATAAGACCCTGAAAAAAAGCCTTCTCAGGGACAACTTTGTGGTTTGGTTTTATTTATTAGTCAGCAAATCCACAGAACTCTGGAAAACAATCTGATTTAACTGCAGTCCATTGTTACTGCTTCTGTCCAAACATTCCTCTTATTTTCAATATCTGAGTCTCAAGCCAATTCACTAGCATTGTGTGGGTGCGTTGGACAAGAGGATTACCCCGCCTGAGCTCACAAGCCTCTCTGTCTGAGATTGCTGTACAACGTAAAATGCAACCACTTGACAACTTACAGCTAACGTTTTCTATTCATGGCCTTCCTGCCGTGTCTTGACAAATGCTAGGCTGCTCCTCAGTGCCGCTGATTTGAGAGGACTCATGGAACTGCAGAATGTGACAACTCCTGTCAAAGACAATGGTCTCAAATATCTGTGATTTTTAAGCCAAACGTGTCTTTTACTGGACAATAACTACTTTATTATAGGACCTTGAATGATTTTCACTTTAGTGTTACGAGACTTAATTTCTTTCGTAGGAGGGCTTCCACATATAATTATACAAGTGCCAATTACTATTGTATTAATTAATTTTAAAGCTTAATTGTTTTTAAAATCAGCCTGACTTCTTCATTGTACATGATATACTCTTTTGAATAAAGAAGAGCTAATTCAATCATTTCCTTTTAGTCTTTGGATGCACCAATACATGTGTTGAGAAATTGCTTCAAAATCTAACAAAGCCTTGGAGCAATAGCAATTTTCACTAATTCACTTGCTATAATTCGTGTAGAAAATAGTATAATTATTTTATTCAATATTGGCCCAATTCTGCAGTTTTGCCATTACTTTAGGGTCAGATTCTGCTACCATTGAAATCAGTCAGTGTACTACTGAATAACTGATATTTTTTTGCTTTGGAATACAGACTGAAGTGCAAAGTTTATGGAATGAAAATTTGGTTATTCTGGATACTGCAAAAAGATATGGCTATGAGGTGGTTGATACTTTCATCATCACAATGGGACGTTACAAAGAATTTCTGCAAGGGAAGTGTGGATGTCATTTCCATGAGGTAATCATTTATTGTTTATATTGGTCTCATTTAAGTATTTAAAAGGGGTTCTAACTGTCAGATGCTATAGTGAAAATATGTACAGCATAGTGTATAGTACTGGATCAAAGGTAGACCTAAATGAAGCTTGAAAAGGTTTCTAATGCATGTGAAGATATATGCAGCTCACCATGGAGGGGAACAGAAGCTGTGTAATGGCTAAAGTTCAGCTCCCCAAAGGTATTTAGGTACCTAACTCCCACTGGGTTAGGCACCTATATACCTTTAAGAATCTAGGTCCAAATATGAAAGAGAAATACCTTAAAAATGGAGTCCTATCCATGTAAATCCAGTGGAATCACAAAAGTGCTGTTCCGAAAATATACTTCTAACTAATGGAAAGAGGTTTCTCTGTGCAGGGCTTTGTTTCCAGGCTCTTGAGCTTCTCTACTCTGCACTGTATTATCTTGTTTCTTCTGGATCTGTTCAGTCTACCTACTGTCACCGTGCTCATCGACCTACCAGTTGTTTGTCTCAAGTCTTCCTTAGCTGGTTTATTAACTTCACTCATTCTGAATCTGCCACTGCATGTTCTCATGAATATGTTGTTTGATTAGAACTTTCCTGGAGCAGGGTGTGTACAGGGAGAGGGGTTGCACAGGCAGAGGGTTGTGAGGAGGTACCATAACTGCTCCTGTCAGTGTATAGTCTTACTTTTGGTCCTAGTTTTCTCTTCTGGTTGTATACTTGAAGGAATTCTCTTTTCCATTTTACACTTACTGGGCTAAATTCAGCTTTGTGATGGCACAGGAACAAGGTCTTGGCAATGGAAAGCCCACCAGATGGGTTGCTGCAGTTGTGCAAAGGGTTTGTAGCTTCCCCTCCACCAGAGAACTCAAACGCTTCCAGTCAGCCCAAAGAGTGAATGATGCAGGCTGGGGAGGGGGCATGGCCAGGGTAGCTCATGTTCTTATCAGCTGCCCCTGGCTGAAAACTGAATTGGCTTCCCTGAAAAACCCTGGGGAGGTCTGTAGCATACCACACCCTGCCCTGCTTAGTGAATCCCCCAGACTGGCACAGAAAAGTGTAATTAACTCATACCTTCTGGTGTCACCTGTACTGAATCTGGATGCAAGTGAATTAGCATCATTTCAGGCTATCACTTCAGCTAACAGTATGTCACCCCCTTTGAACCTTTTTAGTGTTGGGTTTGTGTTAGGACATGTTCAAAGTGTGCTGCATTTCATTGCCCCAAGGGACTGTTAGAAGCTGGTGCAATGTGGAGCAGCCAGAGGAGCTCCAAGTTCCACCAAGGGTCAAACCGGCAAGCCCCAGAATTGGGAGGGGTGCAGGAGAATTGCATAAAGCCACCTGCATTCCGGTACACCTGAAGGCTTATTAACTTCAGGATGCTATACTGATCCCTGTTGTTTGAATTAATGCACTAAGGCTCAATATTAAATAATTATTGAACTTGTGTATCCTGCATGAGCATCTATGGAGCACCAAATAAACAGCTAAACTCTTGGCCTAACATTTTACAATGTGCACAGTTAACGAGATGAGCGGCAGTTGAGGACAGTTTCTTCTTCAATTGTTTACAGTCCTGGTTAGGAACTTCAAGGGAATCTTCTCAAGAAATTTCAGAGACAGCAGCCCATGACTTAAATCAAAAAAGAACAAGCAAGCACACTATTGAAACTAGGCACAAAATCAACCTGGAGGCTGCCAAACCAGTATCCAGAGAAAGTAGGGAATTTGAAAAACAAGATATTTAAAGTTGTTCTGGTTTCCTTTCCGATATATTTTGAGTGTCTGCTGTGTCTTTTCACAGTTAGCCCTGTTAGAGGAGGGGTCAGTTTTGTATTTGCATTTTTAGTGCCATAAATATATGAAACAGAGAAGTGCTCCCTTGATTTCAAGCATTGCTCTGAATGAAACCAGAAGACGTTCTTCTCTGATGATCATACAAAGGTGCACCCTCTGCCTCACAATTGACTATGATAATTCCAAATGAGAGACTTGATTTAAGGAAGTTCCCTTGTGTCATCAGGAGAAGTACCATAGAATTCCATTAAGATCTCACCAAAGTTTCTGTGAAGCTAATTTGTTGGTATGAGAGGCCTGTGCCAGGATTCCAGAGTTGAATTATTAATCTGCTGGGAGTCTGAACATTCCATCAAGGCATTTAGCTCTAAAGGAGTTTCAGTGAATGTCTATGTGCTACTTCAAAGCATTTCACCATCCTACTCCTAGGAATTTAAGAAACACAATGAGCAGTACAGGGAGCTTTGGGTCATCAACTCATTTCCCTTCAAGTGCTAGACTCTGACTCCAAATCAAAATTATTTCTGCTGTGAAAATCAGGACTACGAACTCAAAGACAATCAGTAACACTTGGCCTCAATTCACTGCTTTATTTCACTAAAATCTCACAAGGGGAATAAAACTTTCCATTTTAAAATTGTGAACTTTCATAAATCAAGAGTCAACTTTGTGTGGACTGTTTATATTGCACAATTAAAACGGAGGTCAAAGATGCAATAAGTCCACAATAATATAAGTAAACAAAGACTGGGCTGAAGTTGGTATAAAAAAGTCAAATATATAGGAAAATAGGATGCACCAAAAGATGTGATTTTTTTTTCTGTAAACCAAGAGTCAAATTAATTTACAAGGCTTCACGGGTATCTAGGAAAACCATTTCAAAATGCTGAGGATATTCAGGGACTTTAGGTCAGAAAGAAACCAGCAGCTGAAAGAAACCCCTGCAGTTTCATTACTGACGGTAATGGTGCTATAGCCTTGCCTGATGCAACATTTAGACACAGGAATCTACAACCTATTTCATTTGGAGAAAATCCTAGATAAGTTTTGGAGCTCAACTGCCACCCCAACCCCAGACAAGATTTCTGGAATTTGTCTACCGTCAATACAAGCAGCTCCAAATTTCAGGGACTGCTAAATGCCTTCTAAATGTCTCAAGAAAAGAATAAATGCAACTTGCCTTTGGTTAAAGTGACACCTGTTTTAATGTGATCCTCACTCTGGGGTCAAACCTTCTCTCCAGATATGGGTATGTGCATAGGGCTCCCACTTCAGTGGATGGGAGCTGCACGCTTATAAAGACTGGACATGGCCTTGAGTGCTGGGTGAAAGTGCTGATTTCTGCTGTGTGGAAACACTGGGAAAGCTCTGATTCCTTCCCCCCCCCCAAAGTTCCACAAAAAGTGAATCCAAAAATAAGGTTTCCTTCATTGTACACTTGCTTCATGCGGCAAAAAAGTCTGTGGTTAATGAAACCTAAGAATAGCTGAAAATCAAACAGAAATCCAGGGTCACAATAGTTGAAGACAAAGATTAAAGAGCCTCCATATCGTGTAGGGTTGCCAGTTTGGGTTGGATGTATTCCTGGAGGTTTCATCACATGACACAGTCTTTAATTCAAGATTAATTTTTAATTCCTGGAGACTCCAGGACAATCCTGGAGGGTTGGCAATCCTAGTGTGGTGCTATCCTGCCACCCGAGCTTTCTACCTAATGATTCTGACCATTTCCTGGTGGCTAATGGAGTCCATTTAATCCTCTCAGCTGCAGCATCATAAAAATACTGTCACCTTTTAATCACGAGCTCTTGTTTTTCTGCTCAGGCTTCACTGAGGCAGATGCTATCTCTGAAACACAACAGCCTATAGGACTTTTAATGTGCTTCTGAAGGAGACAGATGCTGGGATCAACTTGGCCTTTGATTCTTTTCTGGGGTCATTGGAATTCATGCTAGCAAATTCTGATACCGGGTCTGGGCCTTTTGTTTCATGGAATTCCATGAGTGTTGCAGCCAACTGAGGGTGAGGAGTCCCTATCTTAAGAATTCACTCCCTTCCCTTATGGCTCAATCATGGCAGGGGAGGTGCATAACTGCATTGCCCTAGGAGCAGCCCAGGAATCAGACAGTGACTCTGGGTCACAATCTGCCTTCCGGTTCCACCTCTTGCTCTGGGACTGATGTATTCGACATCAGTCCTATACCCAGTGCAGCACGTATCCTCTGGTGAGCCAGTGCAGCAGTGCTCACAAGCATGGTCTTGTGTGGGTTGGAGCCAAGAATCTACCCATTCCCCCATCCCTTGCTTCCCATGTGATTGGGGGAAGGACACAGAAATCCCACAGAGACTTTTTCTCCTTCCCACCCATCCCCCACCCCATATATATAATTAAGGCTGTGAGTCTGTCATGGAGGTCACAGATTCAGTGACTTTCCATGACCTCTGTGACGTCTGCAGCGGCTGGTGCTGGCTCAGGGGCTGCCCGAGCTGGGCAGCCCCTGGGCCAGCAGCAGCAGTTTGGTTGTGAGGGAGGGGGCTCAGAGCTAGGGGCAGCGGGTTGGAGGGATGCTTGGGTGAGGGGCTCCCACTAGCATGGCCCTACAGCTCCTAGGCAGCAGAGAGGCTAGGGGGGGCCTCCGCGCCGCATGCTGCCTGCGCCTGCAGGCCCAACCCCTGCAGCTCCCATTGGCTGCGGTTCCCTGCCAATGGGAGCTGCAGCAGCCGGCGCTTGTGCCCCTCCGCTGCCTCAGAGCTGCAGGGAGGCAGAGCCGGGTAGAGAGCCCCTGCCAGCCCAACCAACCATCCCCCCCAGCACCAGCGGGGGTCCCGGGCCACCTCCCTCAGCACCCGCAGTTCCCCCGGACCGCCCCCCATCCCGAGCTTACAGGTATTTTTACTAAAAGTCATGGACAGGTCAAGGGCTGTGAATTTTTGTTTACTAAAAATACCCGTGACTAAAACGTAGCCTTATATATAAAATATACACATCACCATGCAGATGTGCAGCAGCACAAGCCACAGTCTGGCCCTTAATGAGCTAGAGCTCAGATGTGGTGTTCTTCAAGGCCCACTACAGTTCCTTTTTGTTTCCCTAGTTTTTTGCAGCATGGACCCTGTATTGTAGTCTTATTAGCTTTTGTAGCCTAGAATGGGGAATATCTGGGTGAAATGCTTCCAGTCTGCTTTGTGCAGTATTGGGCAGACGATGTCAGTGGTGGTTGTTGGGTTTTTTTAAAGTAGTTCTGGGTGAGCTCCCATACAAATTAGCATTACGGATTAAATTCAGCCATGCCCAGGGACTCCAATGAACTGTGTAGCTGCAGGAGGTATAAGTCAAGGTGGAATTTGTCTGTGTTTTTATTTTAAAAATCCTATTATTGACGCTAAGAGGCCTTTGTGACTGGAACAGGAGAGGTATACCCAGGAGGAGGTTAATATGGGGTCCACTAGCCACCAAGAAATAGTCTAGGTCACTGAATAACATCCACAGCGACCCTCTGAATGGTTTTATACCTCATTAGTTTTAACAGCCTTGGCCTCAGTTCATTTTTGCATCATGGCAATGGGTTGGGGAGGTGGAGTATCCTGGAGTTCATAAGCAGTTTGCGCTGTGAAAATGGCATTTTGCCTCAGAGGACCAACACAACAACACTGTGTAGAACTCCAGAACTTTTCAGGCTTTATGAAACCAACTGAGAGATTAAAGGCACTGCTTGCTACTTTCATTTTTTCACTTAAAGTGACTCCTACACCCCTAGTAGAATGCTCACCCGCACCCCGCGACATCTGAACTCAGCTACAGCTGTGTGGGAGGCTAGGAGTGGAAGGCTGGCCATTTTGTGAATTTTGAACAAGAGAAATGGATTGTATTCAGCAGGGCCGGCTCCAGATTTTCTGCTGCCCCAAGCGGGGGGGGGGCGGGGGAAGGCCAGGTCCTTCACCTCCCTCTCTTCCTCTTCAGTGGCACTTCGGCGGCAGCTCAAAGAGGAACAGAGGGACCTGCCGCCGAATTCCCACCGAAGACCCGGACATGCCGCCCTAATACCGGACGACTGCCCCTTTGTATTGGCCGCCCCAAGCACCGGCTTCCTTAGCTGGTGCCTGGAGCTAGCCCTGGTATTCAGCCACTCTCATTTAACCTTTAGTCCCTGTTTACAGTTGCTGGGTAAACCAAGGACCTGATCCTGTGAGGTGTAGTGCACCTGGAATTCCTGTTAACTTCATTGATCCTTCTGAGAGGCCCCAGAGCACAACAATAGCTTGGAAGCCCATAGCACCATGGCTACAAGCCCTGCTGTGACTGGGGAGGGAGCTGGGAACTACTGTAGAAGAAGAATCTCTCCATGTGACTAGTTTGATCTCCAGGTGTGAGGGCTCAGAATCTTGCATCTCCTGTCCTTGCCAGTCTACAGCCACTGCTAGTTCCAGGGGCCCAAAGCAACATATGCAAACTGATTTTTAACTAGTTTGTTCCGTTCAACATGCTTAGGAAGGCAGCAGATGGGCCAGAGGACACAAAATGACCCTACACCTTCATGGCAGCAAGGGACGATGTAGATTTATTCTATAACTTAATGGTAGTGGAATAATGTATACTAAATAGAAACTGGCAGCCTTTGGATTTGGGTATTTTAATCAGTGGCTAGCTGTAAGATGAATACTAAATTGCATTCCTTGGAGATTACTCTCATCAGGAATGTAGCTTGGGTGATTGGTTCAAGGTAGCATCATTTCAGAATAATTATTTGATCTAAGGCACTAATTTAGAAAAAATGAACCTCTGCAGGAATAGTATGAAAACAAATTGCTTCTCTTGGCTTAGCTGAATCAAATAGGCCTTAAAATATATTAGTGTCTGTAGAGGAGCAGACTCACCCCTGCAGCACCTCCTGCTGGTGACTTCAAGGAATTAGCCCTTCCAGCATCCTGGAGCACCCTCTGCAGGCTGGTGTCCTCTGGCCCCCCATGTCCCTCCTGGACCCCAGTGCCTTTTAGCTGGGTGCTGCCCCCTGGCAGTACACCCCTCAGTACTAGGGTCTCCCCTCCCTGGGGAACCCCCACCCACTATCCCTACCTCACCTCAGAATAAGGCTACTGCCAGTCACCAACTAGCCCCTGCTCCCTGGGGCAGATTGCAGTATAGGCCACTCATCACAGGCAAGGTTGGGTTTGGACCTGTAGCCTTGGCCTACCCCTGGGCTGCCCTCTGCAACCCCCAGTACCCCTTGGCCTCCTACTAGGCCACAGCATGGGGCTTTCCAGGCTGGAGCTCCCCAGTCTGTCGCCAGCCCTGCTCCACTCAGGTACTCTGTCTCTAGCTCACTGCAGCCAAGCCCTTCTCCCTCTGAAGGCAGAGAGAGACTGCTTAGCCTTGGGCTCACAGCCTTTTTATATAAGGCCAGCTGAGGCCTGATTGGGGTGTGGCCCAGCTGCAACTGCTTCCCAATCAGCCCAGTTTAGCAGCTCCCAGCCACAATCTTCCCCCAGGGCTGTTTTAAGCTCTTCAGGGCAGGAGCGGGGTAACTACCCCGCTACAGTGTCCTAAATGGATACTACTTGCTCTGTTGCAAACTTAGACAGCCCCTCTCACTCACCCTGCTCAGCCTTTATAATTTTCACATGCTTTCTCTCCCTTCACATTTTATTTTGTGCAAGTTGCTGCTGTACATGTAGTATGACCTTGGTTAAATACGAACATTGGTTTTAAGTGTCTAATAGAGAGGTGGGCAAACTACGGCCCATGAGCCACATCTGGCCCACGGGATCGTCCTGCCCAGCCCTTGAGCTCCCGGCCGAGGAGGCTAGCCCCCGGCCCCTCCCCGTCTGTCCCACCTCCCCCGTAGCCTCAGCTCGCTGTGCCGCCAGCGCTCTGGGTGGCGGGACTGCGAGCTCCTGTTAGGCAGTATGACAGCGTGGCTGGCTCTGGCCAGGCCGTGCAGCTGCCAGTCCTGGTGCTCTGAGCAGCATGGTAAGGGAGCGGGGATCAGGGGAGTTGGATAAGGGGCAAGAGGTCTCAGGGGGCAGTCAGGGAACAGGGAGCATAGGGGGTTGGATAGGCGTGGGAGTCCCGGGTGGCCTGTCAGGGGGTGAGGGTGTGGATAGGGGTCGGAGCAGTCAGGGGACAGGGAGCAGGGGAGGTTGGATAGGGGGTGGGATCCCAGGAGGGCGGTTAGGGGTGGGAGGTCCTGGGAGGGGGCAGTCAGGGGACAAGGAGCAGGGGGGGTTAGATAGGTAAGGGGCTCTAAGGCTGGCAGTCAAGGGGTGGGAAGTGGGAGGAGGTGGATAGGGGGCGGGGGCCAGGCTGTTCGGGGAGGCACAGCCTTCCCTACCCGGCCCTCCATACAGTTTCGGAACCCCAATGTGGCCCTCAGGCCAAAAAGTTTGCCCACCCCGGTCTAATACATGATTCCAAACATATTTCATTTTACAAAAACCCTATGAAGCACATATATAAACATGAATGCTGTCCGTAGCCAAGTGTGTATCTTGTTGCATACAAAGCAAAGCTGAGGACCATTAGACCTACATCAAACATGATTTGCTCCTCTTTATTTTTAAAACAGATTAACAACTCAGAGCTCCCTTCTGCCAAATCAAGCAACCAGATATAGGGATCCTTCATTTCTAGAACTAAATTCAGTAGAATGGGCTAATAACTGTGCCAAATGAATACTGTTTTGCCTGAGAACCTTTTTCTGATGCTTGTTTACTTTTCCTTTTATAAGTAGGGTGACCAGATAGCAAGTGTGAAAAATTGGGACAGGGGGTGGGAGGTAATTGGCACCTATATAAGAAAAAGCCCCAAATAGTGGGACTGTCCCTATAAAATCAGGACATCTGGTCACCCTATTTATAAGTAACATTATGTAGGCCCGGGGATTCTGTAGCATAGCTCTGTTTCACTTTGGGGATGCAGCAAACCTCTGGAATCCAGTCCATTTTCTGCTTTTTTTTTCCTGCAAGGATCCTGCTTTACGATGATCTATCTTGCCAATGAAGGAACCAGCTCCTAACTTACCTTTCCAGACAGCTTATATGCAGCTCCCGGGTGGCGGTGGTTGTTGTGGTCATGGTTGTTTATTTGTATTACCATAGCACCTAGAAACACTAGTTATGGACCAAGGTCCCATTGTGCTAGGTGCTGTACAAACCCAGAGAGCTTCCAATCTAAGTTGTTTAGATCCCCCATCTCCACACAGGCTAAACACGCCACTTCCAGAGCAATCCCAGACTATTGTAATCCAAAGAGCAGGGGATCTAATCGGGGATCTCCAGTACTGTGCTGCCACCAAGCAACTGGTCCAGCCTACAAAGAAGGTCTGTGCCTCAAGTACTAGGATTAGAGACGGACCTGAGCTATGTAGTTCAGATACTGATCTGGACCTGAAATTGCCCACAGTTCAGGGGTGTCCAGGGTTTAATTTGGCCCACTGTAGACATCCAGGCAAGCTGAAAAGGTTGAATCTGGGGGTTTAGTTCAGGCTATCTCTAGTTAAGAGAGGACACAGTCTAAAATATACCGTGTTGAAAGAGCTACAATATCAAGTGGATGAGTTTAGTTGATTTAAGCATTTTGGGTTCCTTGGTCAGTAAGGGCCGGATTGAATAGTACCTGACATACTGATTGCAATCTTACACCACAGCTGGGCTCACTATAGGGAATGGGACCAGTTGTGAGTTAGGGTATCGGAGTCTGGTCTTCAAAGAACCGAGTTCTGATTACCCCATGAGTTGTGCACATGCAGCTGACAGGATAATAAGACCCATCTCCTTTTAGGTGCACATAGAAAACATTCACAAATGTCACTCTTCCTTTGCAGGTGGTGAAATCCAAAACATCCAGTGAAAGTCCTCCCATTACAATGAAGCTATCAAGGCCCTATGCTCTGGGGAAATATTTCAACAGCCAAAGCAAACTCTCACAGCTGCAAGACTATGCAATGAATTCTCAGTCACCGTATCATGTCAGAGGTCCAATAAATCAAGTCTATTCTGAAATCCTCCTCAGCAGGATCTGTGCAAGTAAAAGCAAGGCTACTGACTCATAGCCTCTATCAGATGAAGTTTTAGAGCAGGAGACTTCCTGCTTCCTCAAATGACAATCCAAGGACCACATTCAATTCATTTACATGCTTCTCTGATTGGCTGCACACATACCGACGCCACTCAAGACGTGGCGCTTTTCCTAAAGCTTTATGACGTTAAGATCTGCCCTTTCGGATCTTAGGTTTCGGAATGGAAAGATGGAGAGATGCAAAAAAAAAGGAGGTGGGGAAGTTACTTGAAATATTGCCAAATACTAGAACAGCTGCAGGCCAAGCAACTGTGTACTGTGACAGTAAAGAGAGAGAAAGATATACACTTGACGTATTTGAAAAGGGCTGCTTTATTTCTTAAGCAATAGATAGACTTATCTATTTATAGGTACATACTTTAAAATTATTCCATAGAGACATTCCATTCCATTTCAAAAAGCATTATTACATACTCATAGGTTCCCTTTCACTAGCAATATAGGAATATTTCTATTTCAATCCTTGCCTGTCATGTATTGCAAAGACAACTTATTACCATTTTATCTATAGTGCCAACTCTTAATTCTAGTGTTTACAGCTAACACGCACATTTTCATCCACATCTGCAGTAGATCACGTTTTAACAAAAATAAAAAGGAAAGTTTGCAGTATTTTTCTGCATGTTCTAAATCCAAGAGACAGAGGTGACTTAGAAGAAAGGCTGAATATAACTATCCTCACCTAACATGGATAGATAATGAATACCTTAGTATATCCTTGTTTATGAACCTGATTCAGGAAAATATCCCTATGGATGAAAGCTTCTTTAGATATGTTTAAGCACTTTTCTGATTGGGGGCCCATAAGCCTAGCTGGTACTTTCCCTGTATATAAAGTCCTCTCTTTCTGAATTTACGTAAGATGCCTGATACCTAAGAGTCCAATCCTGAAATCCTTGTTCAGAAAAAACTCCCATTGCATGCATAAAAGGACTGCAGGATTGACTGTAAAAAATGTGACTGTAAACAAATACTTAAAAAATAACTAATTCCTGATGACTTCTGACACAACCGTATATGATTTAAGAGACTATGATGTGGATTTATATGGTTAAAAGCACCAGAAAATGTAAGGAAAATTTTTAAAATTAGATTCCACTGTCAAAGTTAGTAGTCAGGACTCTCTGCTTCCTCACAATGTGTGTTGTAGAAGGAAGCAAAAGTATAGGTTCAATCTGAGTCATGCTCCCCTCTGTGTCCCCACTCTTTAGAGCTGCTTGTACTCCTCCATGGGCACATTATAAAATGTGCCCCTTTTGTGTGGGGAGGCAGTCCAAAGCAGCAGAGCTAAGGAGCAGTTGATGGTGTGCTCTAGTAGCAACTCACTACACAATTGACTTGCTCCTTTGTTTCAGCATTAACTCCCCCGATGTGGCTCCCACTCTCCTCTGAACAGGTTGGCCATGCTGCTGAAGTGGAAAGTCCTGAAAGCAAACAGAGGAGCTGCCACTATTCACAGGTAGCTCTGGAGATTCATGAGGCTGGATCTAGGATTCCCTATGAATTTTTGAGCTCCACATGGTTGGCAGCCCATATTCCTAGCTACTTACGTATTGTGATCCGTCCTTCCCACAAGAAGGAGCTATGTGTTAGATTGTCTGTGAAAAAGTATCTCTGAATTTATACATAAGCTTTTTTCTGCCATGATCCTTCGCGTGAAAAGGGAGAATATAGGCCTCCTTTGTATCTCTGGTAGATGTCTCAGTGAATTGACAGAAGCTTTTGTGTTTTGAGCCAGGGACACTTCATGAACGTTGAAAGGATCCGTATTTGGTTATCTCCAGTATTTTGCAGGATCCTGTTGTGTACACACCATGCAACTTATGCTCTGCAGGTCCATAACGCCAGGGCACAGTGAAACAGCCTTAAAATGCAGTGGCTTAAATTTGCACCACTAAAGTCAAAGGAAGCTTTTGCCATTTGCTTCAATAGATGCAGGATCAAGCAGATGTCTTATATTAGGCTAATTGTATATTAATGTATTGTAACTTTGCTTCAGATGTTTGTGTATCACTTGAATCCACATGCTGGTGTTTTTTTTTGTTTGTTTGTTTGTTTGTTGGTTGGTTGGTTGGTTAGTTGTTGGGTTTTTTTGCTTTACACAGCTGTAAATGTGATCTAGAGGATGTGTGTGTGTGCGTGTGTGTGTGTGTGTGTGTGTTTGCTTTAAATCAAAGATCATTGTTAAAGCCTCAGCTAGAAAAGCCCAAACTTAATTCTAGTTATACTGCAGCTGATACTGGCAAATGTGCAATTCATCACCTCCAGATTCACCACTAGATTATTTTCATGTTCTGTATTTCCTTGTGTCTCAATATTTTTCATGTGTAGAAAGTTCAAAATAGCCTTTAATATTTTATTTATATATATTTGTAAAAAGCTGGTGGTATGGTTTGCAAAGTGACCTTTTTTTAAATAGTTCCTTCAGATCACCTGTCTCCATCTGTCTGAGTTCAAGCTGTACAAAGAAAAGCGCAATAAAATACAAAGGTACAGAGTTAAGTTTTCTTTATTTCGAACACCTACTGGTATGTGAGGGGAAAGAACCAAGATGTGGCCTGGGGAAACACCACTGTTCATACACCTTAAACATTTGCAAATTGAAACCATCAAAGCCAATGAAGATACATCTTTGTCATTTTTGTATTTCAGAATTATCACTGACTGTGAATGATCTTCTGCTCTAGAATGTCCACAGTACACTATCAGTGATTCATAGTTCAGTTATTTTTTCTCCTGTGTCTTTAACTTTGCTAATTATTCTGAGAGATGACAAACACAGAGCCCACTGCTGAAGTGCTCATTCAAGGTGAAATTCTGCCCCCCAGTACAACTATGGAAGGCCTATTGCAATGGAGCTGTTGCAAGCAGTATGGTGATCAGGCTGCTGTGGAGCATTATTTCCTGTCAGGTCTCTCTACGCAGTAAGACGTGGCTCAGCAGAAGTTTGGGGTGGAACAAGGGAAAGGGTTTAGGCCAGTAGGTCTGCAACTATCCAGATTACCTGCAGACATAAATTCATGGGACACAGGGAACAGTGCTCATGGCCCCTATTGTATCGCTGGGAGTTTAGCTGGAGCTGTGGAATAATGAACTGGAGTCCCACAGACTAGAAGGGGAAGATTCTGTCTCCCACATAACCTCACAGAGGTTGCCTGCACAATACCAAGTTATTTAGGCTTTGTGCAGAGGCTCAGAATTTGGCCTTTGGACCTTGGGGTTTTGTGATTAGGTCCATTCAAATGAGTATCTTAAGAATGATGTGACATAATATAGCATTATTTTACTAAGTGTATCAGTTAGTATTGTCTTGAAGTATGAGAGGGGTAGCCGTGTTAGTCTGGATCTGTAAAAAGTGACTAAGAGTCCTGTGGCACCTTATAGACTAACAGATGTATTGGAGCATAAGCTTTTGTGGGTGAATAACCACTTCGTCAGATGCATGCACCCACAAAAGCTTATGCTCCAATACGTCTGTTAGTCTATATTGTCTTGAAGAGTCCTCCTCCATCAGAGATGCTGTATTTCAAATAGCCTGTATACAGAACTGAAATAGTCAACTATTAATACCATTTCTTTATACCTTATAGCCATTTAAACGTTAATTTTCAGGATAATTTCTTTCACTCCACTACATATAAACCTGTTGCACTTCTCCAGTTTTCTATTCTGTGATAAGATAAATAATAAAATTACAGCAAAATATATTTACTCATGTACTGGGTGTGAAGTGGTGGGCATGCCATTACCTTTAGGATGAAACAACTACTACTTAGTCTTCTATCGCTATGCTGAGCTAAAGAGAATGCTTTGAAGAAGCAGATATGTATGACATTAAGTTGACTGCGATCCAGAGATCTTTCAGACAACTTTTTAGAGTAAGGCAATTTTTTAACAGGTGCGGCATGCTGTTTGGCAGAGAATCAAACTGTTGAACAAAGTCCTGAAGACACACATTAGAAACCTAGTCTTACCTTTTTTTTGTTTGCCCATGAGGCTTGCATCTGGCTCATTTTATCTTGTTATATTTAAATATACCTGCTCCGCACCCAACACAATCTCTGGCCCATACTAGACATCACTCAGATTGTGCCTTGAGATGCTCCTGCTTTGCCTTGAGAATAAGGTTTGGGATAGGAGAGATTTTTGTTGTAAATATTGGGTGAGTTCAGCCTTCAGAATATCAGTCTTGGCGATTGATCCTGCTTCCAATGATACCAACAGCAAAAGTTCCACCAACTTCAGCCGGAGCAGGCCTTTTGTCTGGAACACTGAGCTGCTTTGGTGAATTTAAAGCAGTGATATTGCAACAAACAGCCACACTTATTTAAGTTTTGTATAAGCTCGGAGCCAGAGAGCTAATTTTTGCTGCCACTTTTACCAGTGTAATGTGGAGTAACTGTAGTGAATTCAAAGCATAATGCAGGTGTACATATTATCTATCTATCAAAACATACATGCTCAGTCCTGAACCACCACCTAGCCTCTATTCCAGAATGCATTAAAGCTTAAACTTAAGCATGTGCTTAAGTCTCAGTGGATTTAAAGTTAAGCATGTGCTTAAGTGCATGCCTGATCTGGAGTCCCTGTGAGTACGTCTACCCCATAGCAGCGTCTACAGATTGAGGCTCACAGGAATCTCACTATAGCACTAAAAAGAGCCATGTGGATGATCAGGCTTGGGCTCTGAAGCCTGGGGAAGTGGTGATTTCAGACCCTGAGCCCGAACATCTATGTGGCTATTTTTAGCACTGTAGCATGAGCCCCACGAGCCTGAGTCTGTAGCGCCGGGTACTGAGACTCATTGCTGCAGGGGGTGGAGGAAGGGATTGCTATAGAGACCTACCCTGTGAGATGTCCAGCATCCACCGAGCTCAGAATTCCATTGATTTACTCCAGATTTACAGATGTAATTAATAAAATTTGGTCCCTGTCATTTCAAGTTATGTCATCCTGGCATGTCCAGTTGTTTTTTTCCCAAGCTTTGACCATTTTTTCCCTGCATGTTTAAGTGCAATATTATCATGTATTCTTCCATGCATGTTCCTGCAGAGATCCTCCATGCAGGTTGTTGGGGGAGAATTTCCCTTATTGCTAACGCTCATGCAGCTCCACCGGTACTAGTGCTAATCTAGATGAAGCTCCAGCAACCACTGGCAGTTTTAACTTGATGTCATTTAGACCTATCTTAGGCAGGCTTATAGGACACTGAAAAATGCCACTGTCTGCAGGCCTTGTCTACCCTACTGCTTCTGCAATGGTGGGAAATTATGCTCCCAATGAATCCCAGTGTAATACAACTGTGCTGTAAGGCTGGGCTAGGAGTTCAAATACTTTTGATGCATCGTGGCAAAGTAAGAGCAGTTGTGAAGAGCTCGCTGCAAAGCAAATGGGTGAAATGAAAGTTGTCAGAAGCCCTTTGAAGTCAGTAAATACTGTGGGATATTGCCAGGGTTTGAAACCCAGTTCTGTTTGGCACAGCTTTTCACTTACCATGTTGTGAGAGTGGCCTTTTATCTTTTCATGCTACTTGTTATTATCTACTTCCGTGTTTCCCTTGTGATTCATTGGTTTAAGGAGCTTATAGCAATATTTCTGCTCTGGCTGCTAATGGCTAGGCAGCCTCCCCAGATGGTAATCAAATTGTCTTATAGTCACTAGGTCAGAGACACTTTAGTATTTCTACAAAGTATTTTTGCTCTATTGTCCTATGCTATGCCAGATCTAAATATTATAGATATTTAGAGTGGGTCACATGTATATGACCTACCATAATTATAATAGGGGTTTTTTTGCATTTAATATATTCAAATTAACCCCCTGGATCAATTTACATGACAACGAACATTTAAAATCTAAGAGCCCTGATCCTGCAAGGGGATGAGTCCCTGCAGCACATGAACCATGCAGCACCTAACAGGATTGGGCCCAGAATCAGTTTCCTCAAAACAAAAACAAAAACCCCTGCATTAGTGAAAGCAATGCAGCCTCTTCCTCATGGAAGCTATACTAGATTGATTACAGGTTGGAATGTGATTTGTGATGGCTGATTTTTTTACATACTAAGGCTAAATATTTTCCAGCTTTATAGAACTCTGTATCTCTGTGGCAAACTGTTTCCATTTACTTCTATAAAATCCTATTTTTTGTAATACATCTTGCCAAATTATTGTAAAATACATGCTTATGAGGGAAGAAAGATATTTAGTCCTTGTAACTATGGTTTTCCCTCTGGAGGTTGATATGGAGCACCATGTTATTCTTTCTATTAAATAAAATTTTAAAAAGGAAAACTGAACTATTACCCCTGAAAAAATGTTCTTCTTTGAGTGATTGTCCACACAGATTCAGGAGTATCTGGGGCGTATGTGTACAAAGCCTGGTATCTGTGTGGACAACACATCTTGAAGAGCCACAGTTACTGTAAGGTAAGCAACTAGCCATTCTTTTTAAATGATGTAAAAAAAATAGTGTAGTTGATGTTATAATAGGTTTATTATGGTGTCTTATTTTAGTAGTAAATAATGTGTTTATATAAAGGATACACATTAAATAAGTTCTTAGATTATCCTGTCTCTTTTTTTCTTATTATTTCATGATTGGCCAATGAATGGCATTTGGCAAATGTTGGCCTCAATCTTGTAGTCCTTACACAGCCAAATTCCCACTGTTTGTATAAATCTCAGACCCACTGTATACACTTGATATAGCTTTTAAGTAATATGCTGAGCCTGTGCTTTCATTTTGTGCTGCACATTCTTGATTCTAATATAATAAAATAATAATACTTTTCCCTTCTACAATGATTTTTTCCAAGCATCACAGTCATCTCTACAAGCATGCGTGAGTTAACATACACAGCATCCCATTTTGCAAAGGGGGAAACTGAAGCAGAATATGAGTGATAAGTGACTTGCCCAAAGATCACATGACAAGTCAGGCAGAGCCAGGAGCTGCTGTTTCCCAGTCACATGCTCGTCTTACTAGAACAGGTGATCATATATTGATGACGACAGGGCCGTATAAAGAGGCAGGAATACAGAAAAAGCACACTACCTTATTTGAAGATATTTATTGCTTCACAATTGTTCCTTGTCTGCTATTTGCAAGTGCACCTAACTACTTAGAACACAGAGGTGCTGTGTACATTTTTATCTGAATATGTGGGGGCAATAACACATGAAAAGCCCCATCCATTGCATTGTGAATATTTCCTGAGCAGGGCCAGCTCCAGGCACCAGCTCAGCAAGCAGGTGCTTGGGGCGGCCAAGGAAGGGGGCGGCAAGTCTGGCTCTTCGGCGGCAAGTCGGCGGCGGGTTCCTCACTCCCTCTCGGAGCGAAGGACCTGTCTCCGAATTACCGCTGAAGAATGAAGCAGCAGTGGTTGAGCTGCTGCCGAAGTGCCGCAGATCGCGATCGTGGTCTTTTTTTTTTTTTCTTTGCTGCTTGGGGCGGCAAAAGCCCTGGAGCCGGCCCTGTCCCTGAGGTTTTTTCAGT